ATAGTACTAGAAAAGCTTATAAAAATCGTAAATTTTATTTTATTTTTACTTTTTTTTTAAAAAAAATATAATCTATCTAACTATATGTTTAGAATACATGATATTCTGAAATGGTTCATCAACAAATTTTCAAATATTTTTATACAAATATTCTTGATGCGTTAATAATAAAGGTTTAGAAGAAAATATAGCTATTAGAGCCTAAACATTGAAATGTTTATTTTTTAAAATATCAAAACACTGAAATTCTTCTTCCATCTCTTTTTGAGTAAATATTTTTCCTGGTTCACTTCTTTTAAACAAAAAAATGTCGATATTTTTGAATACCAGGTAAATTTTGAAAATAAGATTTTAAAAATGATTCAAAATTATAATATAACCATCCATTTCTGTTATTATAACGAATAGCATGATTAGAATTATTTTTAGTGAACTTTTTTATTACTTTTTCAACATCATCTACTGTGTTTTTTGAAAAAGAGTTTTAATATTACCAAAATATCCATCTGGTAAAAATTTTGTATATCCTAGAACTATAAAACAGTTTCATACATTCCTATTATTGTTAATCAAGACTAAAAAAATAAAAAGAGATTGTTTTTGTTTTGAGTTATACAATTATTATAAGTGACTTTTAAATGTAGTTCTCTTTGATAAAGTTTATTTAAAGCATTAAATACAAGACTAATAGTTGTATTAGCTTCTTTTTTCTGTAGAATTATTCAGAAATTCATCTTCACTAATTAAATAATTTAGTTGTTGCTTTTCTTTTGTATTACATAATTCAAAATATGTATCGCAAATGCTATTTTGAAGTAAATTTGTCCAACTTGCTGTGGTGAAAAAGGAATAGGAATATTCTGTACCCAATCATAACAAATGTGAACTATTTCTTTAGATGTATTGCTAATTATAATATTATTATTATAATATTGACGCTCCTTTTTTACTTTATCTTGATGATTTTTCAAATCCAATGCTACTTCATTTTTTCATCAATATTTTTTGCATATTGAATATTTTTTTTAATATTTCATATTTATCACATAAATCTGTATCAGGTGTCATAAATTTAATATGTAATATGAGATTTTTTCAAAGTCGAACAAAGCTTTTGTATGATATAATTGAAGTGCTATTATCTAATTCTTTACTAAGTGTAACAAAATCTTCATATACACTAGTATAGCTTTTTTCAGTAGATAATAAAATAACTGCTAAAGAATCAGTTTACATATGATGGCCTGATAAGGGAAATCCATGAAAATTTGCATAATTAATAATAAAATTATAAATTTTAGTTGATAATTTTTGATTGATTGTAACTTGTGATGCTACTTTAGGAAGATTTTTTGTATTTCCATGTTGACGTCCTGTTAATCCTTCAGTTAATAAATGATTTCTAACTGCTCTTAAAATGCTATCTGAAATTCCAACAAGTTTAAGATAAGTGTTTTTACATAAAGAAATTTCAGAATTAAAATGATAATCAAAAAATTTTCTATTTTTGTGACCATTAACTATTTTTTCATTATTAGAAAAAACTAATAATTGACCCATTAAAACAAAATCTAACTGTGCTTTTTCTAAACTTCGAAATTCCAAATGTCTTTTGAGAAAAGCTTTAAACCCAACTTTTTCAAAACATTTTTCTTTTTTGTTATGACAAGTACAAATAGCAGAAGAAAAAATTGTTGTAAGTCATTAATAACTATATGCATAAGTTCGTTATCTTCATATTATTCTAAAGAAGTATGTTTAACAGAAAGAAAAAAATTTTCTTTATCATTATCATTATTAAAGTTAGACATGGTAGGACAAAAGTTTATTATGTCTGACAAACAAACAATTTTGAAATTGATCGATATACTGCATTTTATGCTAAAAATAAACTAAAATTCAGGGGTTAAAAAATAAGGTAATTTTATGTTAATCTGTAATTTTCTCAAAAAAGTAAGATTTCCTCGGAGGTACATTTTGCTAGTCCATGACCCATATATTGACATGATAATTTATGCATGATGTTCGAAAATATTTTAATTTATGTACCTTACCTTACTGATTTACCATCTTGGTCAGATGTGCCAACTTGGTCAACAAGACATTTTGAATAACACCTATTGAAAAAAATTTTTTTTTTAATAATGTGCCACTAAATTTAATTTTAAGAAAAACTACTACATATCATTCTAATAATAAAAAAAACAAACGATTTTTGTTCTACAGTTCTTTAATATTCAGACCCACTTTTTACTTGATTGGAAATTATTAAAATTGAAGAGAATACACCTTATTTAAATAATTTGAGTACGCTCGATACGCATTTTACTGAAAAAATAAAATTAGGATATCAAATTTCAAATAATTTATTTAAAAATTTCCTAATAATTGATTAACAGTTAAAGAAAAATGAACTTTAAATATCATTTGACCATTATTTTCTAACTGGTTTATAGCATTAGAAATATCGTAAACTGTTCGGCTTTCATTTTCTTTTAGTCCATAACCATTTTTAGTTTTTATCTCTCGTTGCTCTAAGGCATAGAGAAAAATATCCTTTTTTCTTCTTTTTAATTGGATCACAGACCCTTCATCATGCTTTCATGAAGCTATCAGTTCTTGTAAATATTTAATCGAGTTATATTTATACGTTAGTTTTTTATGTGCAATACATGTATTGCACATTGCTTATTATAAGCGTTAAGAATTGTTAAATTTTATTAAATTCTATATTAATAATTCATTCTCTTTAAAAGAGATGCTAATCTTTGGGCAATAACAAATTTGCTTTGACTTGTTAGAATGCTTTATTGTCATAAACGAGGTTGGACCATAAATATTTATTTAAAACAATAACTAATCTTTTTTTATAAGCATATTATACTAATTATTGAGAATTTATTAGAAAATAAAGGTTCAATATTTATATTTAAATTAGTATCTAACTAAAAATTTACATATTGGTCCTTAATCAAAATTATACAATCCTTTACAATAACTAGAAGAACACAAAACAGCAAAAGAAGTATTAAAAAAATCCCACATATTAGTATTGAAATTATTAATTAAAGTATTATATATTTTTAATACAAAAACAATTAATTTAAAATCTATGAAAAAGTTTATCATGAAAAAACATCTTAAAACTATACCAGAATAAAAGTTTACATTTATAATTGATGATTTATATCGTATCATAAGTCAAACATAATACGATATTAATATAAATGGCATTTAAGGAATACATTATTAATATTTAATTTATAGAGTCCAATTTTAATAAATACATAAATAGGCTAACAATGTCTAAAGTCTCATTAACTTGATTCATTTTTAACAAACTTTATGAAGTAATAATTATAAATGCTACTTTAAATATGTTAATAAAGTCAATGATAAATTAGTTCGAATTTTCTGAAACTATGCAATTATGATAGCAAGATAACATCAGGCTACAAGTCCCTGTATGCTAATATATTTTCTCAATTTATTTAATGATAAATCTGATGATATATCACCAAATGTTGAAAATTTATTTTTACTATTTTTGCGCTGAACAAACGAAATTCAATTTTTGGTTAGTTTAGTTGCTAAATATATTTTTTAGACATAAATGATGTTCTTATAGGTATGTATGTTTTGCTCAATTCTATTTATTCGCATCGGGCGCAGCAAACATTAATTTTTTTTTTTTGATAATTTCGCGGCGATCATGGCGGTGGTGGCTGATCATCCAGTTTGATAACCGGGTCAGGCCAGATTTGAATTAGATCAGGCAGATCTTTTAGATTTTATCGGTTCCGAGCTTTTGGATCCTCAGCTTTGTAGTTAGTATGACTACCCGTATAACTAAGGCGGAGTTAACAAATCTATGTGGCTTCGAAATCTGATCCGATAGATAAACTTTTTCGTTCTTATTCATCTCGTTATATAATCTAAGTTATATATTGTCAATATCATTCTCATATCTGTTTCTCAACTTTCACATTATTCATTTTCTATACTTTCTCAATTCGAAGTTCTCTGTATAAAAGATAAGACCAACAATGTCTCGGAATCACATAAACTTAAACGTCAATGATTCCGTATCTAATTCACATCAGAATTCCATTTCAACTTCACCACAAAATAGTAAACTAATATCTAACGTGGCAATATCACCACAAACAAAATATGTTTTAACATATAGTCAAGAAGATAAATCCTTTGTCGGATGGCATGCTAATACAATTTCAGAACAATACGATCTTCGTATAGATACCGAGTCATCTAAATGGGGCGGTATTAGTGATTTCAAGGTTTCCGATAACAAGATCATTTTGTATAATTATAATGGTTTAGGTAAGATTTAAATTTAATATATTACTTCTTAAATGAAAACAAATTTAGCGCTAATTTATTATACTTTCGTGATTAGCAAAATTTCACGATTTGAGGAATAATAAAGATTTTGAAATTCAAGATGAATATTGTGAATACAGTCATACACATTTTATTAAAAACGGGAATATCGTTACATTTAAGTGCAATAGTAGCACTTCAATAAATCCTTCAATTTTAGTTTATGAACTTACAAATAAGAATGAATTTGCTCAAAAGGCTTTTTATATTTTCAATGAAAAGGATATAAAATTTGGCGGTTTTATAAGCGATAGGATGTGGATGATTACATATGGTTTAATTTTTCTATTGGATTTAACTACTTTCCAACTTCAAAAATTTTCGCTTTTTGTAAGTAAAGTTTCCTTATTATAAGTTTGATATAACAGTATTAATAAATGATTTAATTATGTAGGAAATGAATCTAAATATTGAGAAAGTTAAATTCAAATTCTCAGAAAAGTTAATTATTATGAAAGTTGATGATGAGCATTATATTTATTCCAAAAACGTAGAACTCATAAATTTTCCAATTGGAAGGATTGTAGATTCTGGTAAGTTCTTATATAAATATATTTTTTTTAAACTATAACAATTAAATTTATTTTTGTTTATTAGAATGTCAGGAATTCGAATTCGCCGGCAATAATGATGAATTCATAATTACTTTATCAAATAATAATGTCATTAATATTTATTTTTGGAAATCAAACCTAAAAGGTTCCATTACATTAATGGAATTACTTAATCTTGATGTCATTATTCATACTGAATTTAAAGATCAAAGGCTTTTTGTTGTGTCACTTGAAAAGCTTCATTTTTTTAATTTAACAAAGCATGATTGGAGAAATTCCATATTTAAAGATCATATGAATGATTTTAATAATGATAATTTATTTATGGATATTGATCAAAAATATTCTTCAATCCAAGATAAAATGAAGGCTACTGATGAGTATTTAGAAGAAAACATTCCTAAAAAGTTTAAAAAGACTAAAAAGACTTTACGTGATGTTATAAACAAACATTATGATAATAGCGAATTTGATACCTTAGATATTAAATTTATTGCAGATCCATCAGAATATGAATTAAAGCAGCAATGGATTAATTATTTATTAAATACAAAATATTATTTTATATTATATGGAGAACAATTATTTAAATCGGCAATTAAACAAAATAATATATATTTATTAGGTATAATTTTTAACAAAACTATTGAATACTTTAAAGAGAATCCAAAAAGCAATATTTGCATATTATCTAATTATAAGCAATAATATTCCATATTTATATGACAAATATTACGAATTTATTTTGAAGTATTATAATGAAGTGAATTTAATTGTAGATCCTTTAAATCGAGAGGTCATTTATGAAAAGGTTGACCATCATTATTCTCTCTGCAAACAATTAGAAATTATTAAACCTTACATATCTTATTTTTACATTTTTTGTAAAAAATATAAAGAAATGATCCAATTTTGGGTTCTACCGATTCTTCTATTAATATTTATATATGCTATGAAAATTGAAAATTTTGATTTAATATTAAACCCAATTTTATATATCATTCTTATAATAATTTTTATTTATTATAATATAGAAAAATTTTGTTTTAAAAAAAGATTTTTAACTTTATTATTCAGAAAATATCTAATATTTTTATCATTATTATATACAGCCATAATAGTTGTGATAGAAATTTATACTTACACCTTTTACTATTCCTTCTTAATACTTTTTAATAATACATTAATAATTATTGTATATTTTAGATATAAGCATTATCATAACGAAAATAGTAAATTAGCATTTTTTTTATTGTTATTAGCCACTTTAGATTTAATTAATTATCGAGATTTATTTAGTTCATTGATGATTATATTTATTTTATATAGAGAACTTGGAGAAAGTTATGTTCAAAAACTAAAATACTTTATACGAGTCGTTCATATAATCTTAATAATACTTATTTTGTCTATCACGTATAATTCCATTCCGGTTTTTTACTTAATACCTATGATAACAATAGTGTATATACTTCTTGTTAAACGAAGCAAACCTACAAAACCAACCCTTTTATTCTTAATTCCATTTCCATATTACACTTCATATTCTGAATGTTCTAAAATTAAAAAAATTAATAATTTTGAATTGCCTGTATGGCTTATATATCTTTTAGATTATTTAATACCCCAATCCAATCCTTTTATCGAAAACAACAATATTTAATTTTATAAATCTTGGAGTGGCAAATCTATTATTAATTTTAAATGGAGAGTATATGGAAAATATTATTATTATATAATTTGGTTATTATATACAGTCTTTCTTAGTTGTTTTATAATAGCTTCAAGAATTGATAAAGAGAATAGAAATAGCTTCTTAATAGCGTCTATATTTTTTGGTTGCTTCCATCTTTTGTTTGAAGTTCGTCAATTTTTATGGAATCCTTATAGATGGTTACTAAATTTTTGGAATATAATTGGTATGTAAAAATACTTTTTATGAGCACATAAATAACAAGCAATAATGTTATTTTTATAAAAATTTTAGACTTAGGCGCTTATTTATTACCTACGTATACATCAATTCTTTGGTACAAAAATGGAGAAAATAATACTTACTTAGTGTCAACTTCATGTCTTATACTTGAAATGAAATTTATACTCTTCTTACGAGCATTTGAACCATTTGGGATTTATTTTGCCATTATGCTTGGTGTCGCTCGCAAAATTTATTCATTTCTTTTTATTTTATTTCTTATTACATTGAGTTTTGCCCACGCATTTATGATTTTATTAGAACTCAAATTATGCTAACTCTCTTTTAGCAATGAGTTTATTCCTAACCGGTACGTTACTTTAATTTTTGAGTTATTAATATATTTGTCTAAAAATTATAATTTTTATAGGAGATGGAAGTTTATTTAATAAATGGTCACCTAAAGATAATAAAATTATGATTGCTTTAATGCTTTTATATTCATTTATAATTGTTGTGTTCCTGATGAACTTGTTGATTGGATTATTAAATATGGCAATTGAAGCAGATAATGATCGGGTAACTTATTTAGCACAAAAGGCAGAGGTTAGTATATATGTAATCAGCTTAATCTATTTAGACGCTCTATTAATAGTATCCTTTATTAATATAGATTCTTAAAGAAATAGAGTTACTATATTTTCTTCCGAATCAAAAACGATGTTGGAAATCATTGTTTCCTGAATTAATGTAACCATACACTTTTCTCACATAAAACAATTTTTTTATAATTTTTTAAAAATTAATATTTATATTTTGTAGTTATTACTATGCTGATGTTCAGGAAGTAAAGAAATTAATGGATGAAGGAACTATCGCTATAGACTCCGAAACAAAAGAAATGATTACAAATATAATTAGAATATAATTATACTTTATACTACTTTATCAATTTTTTATTTTTGTGTTCATATTGTTTTTTTTATTATTTTCACATTTATCGTTATTTTGAAATATTTATTTTTATTGTTCTTTTTGCTTTAAATGTTAATAGTATTTATTTATATGTTATATTATTTGAAATAAAAATTTTGATGTACATAGAAAGAGATCGGTGGTGAAAGATTGAGGAGAAACTATATCAACAATTTATATGACATATAAGAACCTACATTAACAATAGATTATAAATTAAGTATATAAAGAAAAAAAATAAAGATAAATAAAAAAATCATTGAAGTAATTGTGTACTATTCTTAATAATTTGTGATTTATGGTTAGGGGTGTGACGGTTCTATCGATTCCATTTTGATTCCTTTCAATAATAAACTTATTAAAAATCCTCTTCTATAGTGACATCATATAACTTGTTTATAATCACACCAAATTATTTAGGTCCCGAGGGATGTGACTATATAGGAGGTCGACTGTATATTGATAATTTGTTTTAAATCGATAGAAATGTTTTATAATTGAAAATAATGAACTGCCAAGTAAAAAAATTGCGGGTAATTTTTTAAAATGTTTAAAGGATTCATTATTGAGATTTAAACATTCATACTTTTAAATAAAAATGGTTTATTCATTAAAGCCTAGATTAATTATTAAATTTTTGATTATAAACGTTCAATTTATCACATAAAATGCTAAAGAATTTTTGACTAAAAAATCTTACCTTTCAAACTTTAAAATTCTATTTTAAAAATATTGATATGTCATGGAATTTCTCAAGATCTAAATCAATCATTTCATAATGCTAATGAAAATATGTAAAGGATGATAAGAGAATATAAAAATTTATATGATCCAGCATACAGCATAATTAAAATTAATTCTATTTCAAAGGGTGATGGTGGTAGTGAACAAAAGATGATCATTCGTTTATTGAGTATCACTTAAAATTGTTCATGATGAATCACTTGCTTCAGAAATATGTTAAGGTTAGATGCAATCGCTTTACCGTCTAACATCTTTATTATGATACAATATTCAATAAAATAGAAGAGCAATTTATACAAAGACAAAATAAATTATTTAAGCTTACAAAGAAAATGATTTTTATTTATTGATTAAATTTAGTATAAATTAAAAACTATCTATTTTTTTAAAAAGAAAAATAAATAAATAAAAATATTGATACATAAATAATTATTTAGTTTGTTTAATGTAGGATACAACTGAAAAAATAATTTTCATATGATCATTATAAAACATTAATAGCAAATAAACAATCGAATTTAATTAGAATTCGCAAAGTTGTTATCAAAACCGTCGAAACTTTCGAGATCCATCAAACCCGTCGAAACCCGTCGAAACCCATTGAAACTGTCGAAACAAATTCTGAAAAGTTTCGACTTTTGCCAAAATGGGATTAGGGTTTTACCCCGCAACTATAATCTAGTTGATGAATCTACAGTTTTGTAGATTGAATTTATCCCTCCGTCAATACATGTATGAATATTATTACTTTTCTTTATTTAGAAGCATAAGACTTTTGCTAAACATTTCAGAAATTCTTATAGCATAGAATATATGAATAAGTTATTTTTGAAATAGTTTTTCGAAAATATTTTCTGACATAAAACAGTTATATCGAGAAAAAGATTTTTTTTTTATATTATAGCTTAGATATAAATAACGCAGCAGCAATCATAATTTTATCATTTTTTTTTGGAATTTGCGCCCTTTTGGATCACTTCTGCAAATATTGAACAATTTTTTTTTTAGTTTTGTTTTTTTGCTTATATTTTCCTTTTTTGCAGTATATATCATTTTTTTTGTTCTTTTCTGATTCATGACAGAGGGTTGGTTCGATCTGCAAGCTTATATTTCTTCCAGGCCGAAACGGAGTCGTAGCCAAATTAAGTCACGAACCTATAATGATGCCTTACATTTCCAAATGGTTGGAAGAGTTAATTAAGTTATTTGGAGAATTCACAAACGATCAGTTGTTTTAAGATATTTATCAAACTATATTGGAGCTGATCTACTCATCCCTTAATTAGTAAAATTCAGACAAATTAAAACCGTAAATGAATACATTAGAACCTAAAAACAATGTGACACCTCGCTTTCTTGACAAACAACAAGGAGAACTTAGAGAGTTGTGTATAAAAAGATTTATTTATTATATATTTTTTTTTTTGGAAGAAAACGAGCTGTTACATGAAAATAATAATTTAGAATGTTTTTGTAAAATTTGGAGCGGATATTAAGTTATTCAATTCACGTCATCGTCATAACTGAATACAGGTGACTTAGAAATTTAATTAACGTTACATGATTTACCGCGTGCATTATTTTTTTTTTTTTTTTTTTTGCTTTTTTCTCCATTTACTTCATTACGCTATATATCAACATGCAAACTGCCAACAATTCAAATGAGTGGGTTAATTTGATTGAAGAATCTATCTCAAAAAAATGTATCAAATACTACGAATATAAACAACTTAGTAATTTTCAAGAGATTGGTACAGGCAGCTTTGGAAAAGTCTATCGTGCAAATTGGAAAAATTCCTATCAATATCTCGCATTAAAAAGATTTCATAAATTTGACAATGATACTGTTAAAGAACTTATTCGTGAGGTAATTATAAAACATAATATGCATTTTCGGTTTATTTCGGCCTATTTAGTATAAATCATTTGTTAAAAATTTATATTCAAATATTTTTAGCTTGAACTTCAACGGGAAGTCGATTTTCATAGCAATATCATTCGCTTTTTGGGAATTAATCATCATCAAACCAAGGTATAATATCTTAAATAATGCGAAAATATATTAACATTTGCATTTTATTTTTTTAATTCATTTATAAATAATTTTTATTTTAAAAAAAAAAAAAAAAAAATTTAGAAAATCAAAATAAGTCATTGAAAAAATATTGGATAGTAATGGAATATGCTGATGGCGGTTCGCTTAAAAATTATTTAAAGGGTAATTTTGATAATCTAGCTTGGGGAGATAAATACAAATTGGCATTCCAGTTGGCTTGTGCTGTATCGTATTTACATAACGAAGGAATTGTGCATCGCGATTTGGTAAACTATACAAAACATATATTTTCTTCCGAATATTGCTGTTTAAAGATTAAATTTTTTTTTATATTCGTATAATAGCATTCCGGCAATGTACTAATTCATCAAAGCGTTATTAAACTAGCCGACTTTGGATTATCGAAACGAATTGAAGAAGCTACTAGTCAATCAAAAGCTTTTGGAGTAATTCCTTATGTTGACCCAAAAATATTTCTCAGTACCTGATATGATTTATGATGATACTGTTGAAAGTTTAACGATTACGGAATTTAATAAGGATGACATATTAAACACCTTAGGAGGATTACAAAGATATCGCAAATTAACTAAACTCATTTGCTCTAATACTCTAATAACTATCCTACCAAATTTACCCACCTCCTTAACAATACTCTGGTGTTATAGCACTATAATAAATAGCTTACCAACATTACCCAACTCCTTAACTATATTTAATTGCTCTGATACTCCAATAACTATCCTACCAACTTTACCCATCGTCTTAACGGAACTTCATTGCTCTTTTACTCAAATAGCTATCCTACCACCTTTACCTAACTCCTTAACTTATCTTGATTGCTCTTATACACCACCAATAACTATCCTACCAACTTTACCAAACTCCTTAACGGAACTTAATTGCTCTTTTACTCCAATAACTATCCTACCAACTTTACCCAATTCCTTAACGATACTCAGATGTTATAACACTAAAATAAATAGCTTACCAACATTACCCACCTCCTTATCTTATCTTGATTGTTCCAATACTCAAATAACTATCCTACCAACTTTACCCACCTCCTTAACGAAACTTGACTGTACAAATACTCCAATAATTAGCTTACTAAATTTACCTGATTCCTTAAGGGATATTAGACCTACTAAAAATCAATGTTTAACAAGTAAGGTCAAAATGTACTAAGAAAAAGGTAACCTTGTCTATCAAGTTAAACTACTTCCTGACCAAACTTTGGATTATGCATGGGACTATGGTGTTTTAAGTCCAAAAGATGAATTTAAGTATTTTCAAATTATGGTTGATAAAGAATTAAAAAAACTGGCAAGTCCCGTATTAGCCAATCTCTTATTCGCTTCTCAAAAATTCATTCGTCTGGTTGAGAAACCGTCTATTGTCAGCTTGCGTGATGTCAAGCGAGCTATAACGTTAGTGAAATTCTTTTGTCATTCACTTGTGAATCGTCCGCTTTTAAGAAAGGAACATAAATATCCACCACAACCGCAATCTGGAGGTTTAAACATAAAGGCCAGACTTACGCTTTAGCATTTAGTCTTTGTTATCATTCTCGATTATATGATCAAAAATTACGTAAAAAGTATCGTAGCGAAATGGAAAAAATATTAAATTTGAAAAAAGATGCGTTTTCTAAAATTGTCCGCGACGAACAGGAAGATTACATTAACAGAATGCGATGCCCACCTAATACAGCAAAGAATGAAGCTTTATTGGAGAATGTTTTAGTTATGATTGTATGCATCTTAACCAGAATTCCATTGTTTTTAATCGGAGCTCCTGGGTTTGTATATATAATTTTATCACTACCACATCATTTTATTATTATTTTTAACCTTTCCTAAATTTATTTTATTTTTTAAAAGTTCGTCAAAATCTCTAACAATCCGTCTTATTAGTTCGAACTTACATGGATCTGATTAAATGAGTAATATTTTAAAATTTTACCAAGTGTTCTCTTA